AAACTGAGTTTAAAAAAAAAATACAGATAGATGGATAGATAAATGAAAATCCAATGTAATCTTGCGTAGGACCCTAGGATGTGGATGTAGAGACCTTAATATGAAAATGTATATATGGTAAAAGGGAGATCTGCCATCAAGGTGCCAGTCTCCCAATCCTACTGGATAATGTAGGAAGGCAGTCTTCATAGATAAATGAAGTAGGGAATAAACCAATGGCTACTTAAGTGGAAGTCTTGTGAAGTGGTCTAGCACCAGGTCGGGGTCTCAAAACGGAGTGGAGTATCTAACATGGAAGAGATTACGCAGACCCTTAATGAATCTGGACAATACTGGGGACCAAAAATGACAAATCCTTCAGTGACAAATCCTTCAGTGGGCAATAAAAAGCTAATATGGAAGCCAGGCATACTTGACTAAACTGATTACTTTTATCTACATGAAGACATTTGGGTTATCTAGGATGAAAGAAAGGGGAATTAATTTAAGTCAGAGGTAGCATGACAAAGTTCACAAACATCTTCCATTTCTGCAGGTAAGTATTACAGGTTGATTTTTTAACTGTTTAACAATAGCTAGCACCTGTTGCACCTCCATTGAGCAAGAAACCTCCATTCCTGAGAGCCATCAGATTGGAATGAAACATACAGCTCATGTTCTGAGACAAGAGAGGACACATAGTTGGGGGCGTGATCTGTATGCTTCTTCTGGTGGACTCAAGTGGACTAAGAGCTAACGGATGTAAGCATACCAAGCTTGTCTTGGACAAATAGGCACTATGAGAAAAAACTTTCGCCTTGTCCTGTTGATCTCGTTTATCCCTGTTAAAATTAGAGGCATTGCAAGAAAGGCATGAAATAGACTCTTTTCACAGTAAAAGGAAGGCAATCTCCAGAGCATGGTGACCCAGACTCCCGCTTGAACAGAAGATAGGACACTTCCTATTCTCATTGTTTCACCACCAATCAATTTCTGGAACTGAGCATCCAGCTCCCATTCATAGTCATACAGAAGTGACTGATGGGGGCATTGGCATGGTATTTCAGATGCCTGGAAGGTATGCTGATGAAATTTGGATATGGCTGGTTATGCACCAGTTCCAGAACTTCATGATTTCAGCAAACAAGAAGGAGGATCCTGCTCTTCCCTGCTTGCTGATGAGTGACAGACAGAACCTTTTGTCCATCAGGATTCTGTTTTGGCCTGATGAAGGGCAGCAAATGAAAGCAAGCATTTCTCATCACCTGGAGCCTCAACAGATTGATGGAGACACTGTGGATCAGCTGTGCAGTACTGCCCTTTTAAAATGCTGAAGTGCCATGGAGCCTGGGGTCTGCTGGGGACTCCCCAGCTAAGCCTGGGTTCCCTGTGGCATTTCCCCAGAACCTGGGGTGAGCTGGGGAATCTTCAGCTGATACCAGGTTCCGCTGGAATGTTGTTCAGAATCCGAGATCAGTTGGGGAGTCCTCAGCTGACTCCGGGCTCAAAGGTGCTGCCCCTTTGTAATGCCGACAGTTCCGTGGAACCCAAGGTCAGCTGGGGACTCTCCAGCTGATCCCAGGCTCCATAGTGCTGCCCCTCTGAAACACCGAGATAGTGATTGAAAGGGGTAGCTGCCACACAGCTCAGCCTGGGATAAGCTGTGTGGCGGCTGCACCACGGAGTACGGGGTCAGCTGGGAATTCCCCAGCTGATCCTGGGTTCCATGGCTTTAAAATGCACAAGAGCCCCCGTAGGGACTCTTGTACATTTCAAATCAGGCAGCCCACATGCAGCCTGGAATCAGCGGGACTTCCCGCTGGCTCCAGGCTGCACTCGGAGATCCACATTCCTCCTTTGAAATGTACAAGAGCCCCAGCAGGCACTCTTGTACATTTCAAAGGAGGAATGTGGAAGTGCCTATCGACTAGTTGAGTAGTCGATAGAAATTCAATTAACTACTTGACTAGTCAATTAACTGCAATTTAACATCCTTAGTCCCTACAGAATCATAAGTCTGTCTAAAAGAAGGTATACCCCAGTTGTCACTGAGCCCAGGGAAACCCTTATAAACTGTATTCTTTGTATTGATAATACTCAAAGGAGGAATGTGGAAGTGCCTATCGACTAGTTGAGTAGTCGATAGAAATTCAATTAACTACTTGACTAGTCAATTAACTGCAATTTAACATCCTTAGTCCCTACAGAATCATAAGTCTGTCTAAAAGAAGGTATACCCCAGTTGTCACTGAGCCCAGGGAAACCCTTATAAACTGTATTCTTTGTATTGATAATACA